CTGAACACCACGGCTTGACTCATTCTCACATGCCTGAACATGAATATTAACTGGGTTTCTCTTCCTCGTGTCACATGCTGTATGTAATTTAGTTGATTCATTCTACCCAAAGGGAAGCCTCGACTATTGCACTCTTGATAACTCTGCAACGTCTCTTAAGCATCTAATACTGGCACTTTATAGGAATTTCTGACCACAAGCTCATTTGAATTGAGCCTACACACACCGCTACTTAAACCAAACTGCAGACGTACAAATACAAATCCATAAATCCTTTGTTTGTATGTTTAGATTTTTATTTTTCTTATCGTTAAGGGTCAAAGAACAAAATGTTGGGATTCTATTGCTTTTGTTCGGATTTTTAGTGGCCTCTCACCTACATGGTTGCGGGTTCGAATCCCACCTCTTCCCTGTGTGCACGGAGTTCGCAGTTTCTCCCCGTGCTTCAGGGGTTTCCTCCAGGTACTCCGGTTTCCTCGTCCAGTCCAAAGACGTGTGTTTTAGGCCGATTGGCATTTCCAAATTCGGTGAATGTGCGTGCTGTCGTGCCCTGTGATGGGTTGGCACCATGTCCGGGGTGTTCCCTGCCTTGTGGTCCTGCCCACATAACCTTGGTTCTGTTCTATTTTCACTGGCTCCCCGTATCTGCAGTTTAATCTTCTCGTTTTAACTTCTAAAACACCGCACGGTCTTGTTCCTGTCTGTCTTTCTGATCTTCTCCGTACCTACCTCCTGTCTCGCTCTCTCCGTTCCTCTGATACTGCTCTTCTCTCTGGTCTGTATGTATATTTATGGGAATTTGTGCATATACGTTTACTCTCATGGATGTTTGTGTTTATGGGTATAAACATGTGTATGTGTGTGTATATACTGTGTAAAGTGACCTTGGGTCTGAGAAAGTAATGATGTTGTTGTTGTTGTTGTTATAATGATTATATTATTCTTTGTTTTGGAACCACTGAAGTAGCATTGACCGGTCCATGCTCAGAACACTCGAGTCAGCAAGTAAGTTCTCCCTTTATGCTCAGCTAAAATGATCTCAAATGATTTAAAATGGCAACTACGGTTAAAACTGACCGAGGAACAGTCAGAATGGCGACGATTCGGCCAATCGTCACCTCCAGAGAGACCGAAGGTGATCTGAAACGCCTTGTAAGTGCTGGAACAGTCAGACGCCGTTTGTTCAAAGCTAAACTATCAGCGAGAAGTCTTCGTAAAGAGCCACTGCTGAAAATATGGCGTGTGCCGAATCAGTTAAGGTTCGCCAAGGAACACATCGATTAGCCCAAAGAGAAATGGTGTAACATTCCGTGGTCCGATAAGTAAAATGGTTCTTTTCAGGTCTAGTGGTAATCGACAGTACGTCAGGTGACCCCTGGGTTTAGACTAGTGAAGCACAGTCGTGCAAAAAATCATGGTATGGGGATGTTTTTCATACTACTGCTCACTCCTTTTATTAATTCATAATGCTTATCTCTACCTTTGCTGTCGTATACCAGGGATCAAGGATCAGTTTGTTCGTGTTCCGTTGTACATCTAATGTCTTGGGCATTCTTTTTGTAGCCCTCTCCTGATACCTTTGGGGATGGTAGCTATCCGATAAAACCAAGATGTCTGGGAAATCCTACATAAACAGTTGGGTTAATCAGAATGACTGCATTGATGACAAGTGTATGATCATTCATTTTGAACATGATGTTTGTCTTTTTAGTTCTGAGCACAGTCACATGCCCTCTTTAAAAAAAAAAAAAACGTATACACACATCCATCCATCCATTCATCCATCTTCTACACCGCTTACTCCTTTTCAGGGTCACGGGGAACCTGGAGCCTATCCCAGGGAGCATCGGGTACAAGGCGGGGTTACACCCTGGACAGGATGCCGGTCCATCGCAGGGCACAATCACATACACACAACCAGTTTTGCAATATTGTTTTTCTTTATTGTTTACAAAAACCTGCAATTTTAACAGGTCGAACACTGTATTTGAAGAAAAATCATTACGATATCCAGTTGCCATCAGGAGCAACTTGGGGTTCAGTGTCTTGCCCAAGGACACTTCGGCATGTGGAGTCACCCGGGCCGGGAATCGAACCGCCAACCCTACGATTAGTGGACAACCCGCTCTACCAACTGCGTCACAGCCGCCCAAAAAAATATAATTAATCATAAAATCCTTCATAAACATTGATGAGAGAGAGACAGGCCTAAAATCATTCATTTCTTTAGCATTAGATTTCATTGGTAAAGCAGCAATGGTTGCTTTTTTTTCCACACAGCAGGAACTTTCTGAAGGCGTAGTAGGGAAGTTTGGAAAATAAAATGGCTAAATGTCACACAACCGACGTGCACAACTGTTTCAAAAACTCTTCCACTAACTTTGTCTGTTCCTATGCTTTTATTTTGTGGAGGAGTTTGTAATGCTCTAAGAACTAAACCGTGAACACCTAACCGACTCGTAAAAAAATAAAAAATAAACACTGCACTCACACCTCGACTCTGTGCACTTTGCTTCTTCTGGAACTCAATGAATGGATCTTGTACGGTAGCACTACTCGTATTGTTCTCTGCTTGATATATATCGCTCCGCTTGTATTTTTCTCATTTGTAAGTCGCTTTGGATAAAAGCGTCTGCCACGTGAATAAATGTAAATGTAAACCCTTCGCAATCGTGACCTGACCATGTGTTTTAACCAAAGAACAAATCTGGGAGCACTCCTCACCAACGTTCTGTTTATCAAATCTCAAAGAAAAATCATTCAGCCTAGCTGACATTTCACTATTTTCCATCATGGAATTAACCGGAGTTCGCATGTTCTCCCCGTGCTGCGGGGGTTTCCTCCGGGTACTCCGGTTTCCTCCCCCAGTCCAAAGACATGCCTGGTAGACTGATGGGCGTGTCTAAAGTGTCCGTAGTGTATGAATGGGTGTGTGAGTGTGTATGTGATCGTGCCCTGCGATGGACCGACACCCTGTCCAGGATGTAACCCCGCCTTGTCCCCGATGCCTCCTGGGATAGACTCCAGGTTCCCTGTGACCCTGCAAAAGGATAAAGCGGTATAGAAGATGGATGGATGGATGGATTTCTGCTGATTCCTAACGTTTTATCTCTCCCATAGCTTTTATTCCTCTCCAGGCTGACTGAATACTTCCATTAGTGAGCTTCTTTTATAATTAAATCTTATATTTTAGCTTTGCTTTCCAAATGTCATGTTTCACCTCCCTATTTACTTGTTTCTTGTCTAAACTTGTATCTAAATAAATAAATAAATAAACAAACAAACTATGCTTTTTGCTTTAGACTTTTTTTTTCTTCTTCTTTTTAAGATTTTGTCACCCAAGGCTTATTGTTCTGGTAAATGTTTTACATTACTTCTAGTTATCATTAGTTCTTTACTACAAAAAAAATAAATAAATAAAAATCAAAGCAATGAATTATCAACACTGATGCAATATTATTTCGTTTTGAGTCAGTGTCTCCTTGTGATCTGGGATCCTATCACCATGGACCAAACTCTCCAAGGAATAATAATAATAATAAACTGGCCGGTTAGTGTATACAATATACAAAGCCTACACACACACACACACACAAAAAACCATCCATGTTGCTCTCTGTCATTTATTAAAACCGCAATGAGCACGTCTGGTATGACCTTCTTCAGGGTCCTTCTTCGTCCTTCTACGTGTTTATTGTATTTGAGGTTCGTTGATCTGCCTGATAACATCGATTCACATTTACCCAAGCCTGTTGTATTTGCTAGGCTCGAATAACTAGACCATTTGGGAAAAAAATACATATTATTTACTAAAACAAATTTGAGCGATAATAATAATAATAAATTGTTAAAACCTTTTTTTTTTAATCAGGCAATTTCCTTAGTGTCCACGAAAGGGGTCCGAGTGATGTTGCCTAGCGGCGTGTCATCAAGCCATGTGGTTTACACGATCGTTCTAGAAGCATATAGTCGTCAAGGTGGAAGCCTGCTACTCGTAGCCACCGTCACGCTTCTTCTTCTTTTTTTTTTTAACCGAAGTTCTTCGCTCCGTTAAGACTATTCATCCCGGTGTTTACAAACTGAGCAACAATGTTCAACGTAGCAAAGGCGGTCTCGCGGACTCTTTCTCCAAGCTGCGTTCACGGTGTACCGTTCCTAGTGAGAAAGGTGGGTTCTTCTCTGAACTTGAGTTTCCCCTTTAAGAAACGTTCCCACCTTTGGTGTCTCGCGCTGGTTTACATCTTCTCACTGAACTAGTGTGTACGTTTTTAGACGTTTGGGTTCTCAATGTCATGTGACCAGGTGACGAGCACGCTCACGTTAGCGGCGTGCAGAGCAGCACGTTTACCTTGGTGTTCGATTTAAACTGGCTCGTCGTCGTTCCTGCGTGTATGAACAGGGTGTGTGTGTGTGTGTGTGTGTGTGTATATATATATATATATATATATATGTATGTATATATGTATAATATATATATATATATATATGTATGTATGTATATATATATATATATATATTTTCTCTCTTAACTAGAGGTGTTCTAACGATGCAAGTCTGCATATAGAAGTGTGAATCAAGGTGTGTCAGGGGTCTAGAGGTTCTCATGTTGTTCAGTCATCTTGTCTAAAAGCAGTCCCTTTTCCCCAGGCTTGCTGGAACCGGTTGCTGGAAAATGCCGTCCAGACTGCATCCCGACGAGAATACGCGTGAGTAAAGGGCGACAGTTGTTCTCCATCCATCCATCTTCTACACCGCTTACTCCTTTTCAGGGTCACGGGGAACCTGGAGCTTATCCCAGGGAGCATCGGGCACAAGGCGGGGTTACGCCCTGTCCGTCGCAGGGCACAGTCACATACACACCCGTTCATACACTACGGACACTTCAGACACTACGGACACTTCAGACACGCCGATCAGACTACCGTGTGTTTGGACTGGGGGAGGAAACCGGAGTACCCGGAGGAAACCCCCGCAGCACGGGGAGAACATGCGAACTCCGCACACACAGAACTGCGGGAATCGAACCCCCGACCCTGGCGGCGTGAGGCCAACGCGCTGAGCACTAAGCCACCGTGCGCCCTGACAGTTGTTTTTTTTTTTTTTTTTCTTTTTCTTTAAATAATAAACGTGTCCACGGTCTTTAATGAATGTCTTTTAATTGCATTCGCGTATTTTTCCTCTTGCGGTGTTGAATGGATGTTCTTACAGGTCCGACGCGATCAAAGGAGCAGTGATTGGGATTGACTTGGGGACCACAAATTCTTGTGTGGCTGTTATGGATGGAAAACAAGCGAAGGTCTGATGTCTGTTCTGTTTCACTAATGAAATTAGATTGATATATATATTATTATTATTTTTTTTTTACGTGTTATTTTGACCTTTTAAACACGGGTTTGTCAGTTGAGTTTTCATAAGGGCCGATGGATGAAGGATTCTACACCATGTTTTGGGACGAGGGAGTATATTGAAATGTTTGCTGTCGTACAGTTGTTAGGAAAATGCCGTCGGTGATGCCGGTGTTTTGAGAAGGTGCCGAGATCTTAGCCTGTTGTATAACTGATTAAATAAATAAATAAATAAATAATTTCTCAACTGTAATATAGGTGCGAATGATTGACCTTCCCTTTCTCATCCTCAGTTAACGCCGCCAAAGTGCAATGTTGTTTTGGGGCCCAAAAATAAAATAAAAAAAGATCCACGTGACGCTAAATACATCACAGTAAAGGTTACGGAGGTTGTAGAGCGGGGGTCGTCGATCTTATCTATAAACGGCTAACGTGACGACGTGTTTTCGTTCCAACCTGACAGCAGGTACACCTGATTCCTGCTTGAATGGAAGATAAGGATAAATGAATTCCTGCTACACTTGGATTTCATTTCCAGAATTTTCGCGTTCCCCCTAGAGAAATAGAGTACGACGGGGGATTTTTATTTGTCGTTTTTTGTCTTCTCAACATGCAGCATTGTTTTTCATAAATTTTTTACTGGTGCGTTAAACTAGAGGTTCCAGTCTCTTGGCTGCTGAAAGGGATGACTTTTTTTTTTTTTTTTTTTTTTAAACATTTATTGCATTGTGCAAAGGCTAGTTTAACCGCCTGCGTCTATGACTCCTTCACGAAATACACCAAAGTTACCGACTTTAAAGGGGTCATAACATCATTTTGTGTTTGGGAGTGCAGTCTATGGGTTTGTGCACGTCTAAGCTCGGCAAAGTCCCAAAACGAATATTTTCCCCAAGGGGATTTATTTTATCTAACGGAGAACGCTGCTGCAGACCTGCCCGAAATATACGTTGTTTCAAAATCCAGATTTGCTTCCATAATCTGTCTGTGACAGCGTGCACTATTAGTATAATCTTTCCCAACGGCAGCCACAAAGAACGTTCCCGAGCAGTACAACCCAAGCGGGCGATTATAACACGAGCTACACACAAAGGCTACTCTTGAAGAGTGGGACAATGTCCACTTCGCTCGGACAACTTTGCACTTCCGAATCAGAGCCTGAAAGTGTGTGTTGATTTATTTTTATGAAGTATCTGCTATTGACCGTTTAAACGTGGAGTTTTGTGTTGTGGCTCAGTTGTAGACCTCGGCTCATGTGCTAGCTGAAGTAACCTGCAAACTTTACAAATGTGTAATTGTATGATTTTTAAACTACGTTTTGAACGAGATAAGGTAATGATCTTTGATGGCTTCAAACTGAGACTGTGTTCTATATTTACATTTATGGAATGCATATAAAGCTGGCTTCACTCTTGCTCATTATGGAACAAATCATTTCTTTAAAATTTTTTTATCTGGCAACAGGTGCTTGAAAATGCAGAAGGTGCAAGGACAACTCCATCAGTTGTAGCCTTCACAGCTGAAGGGGAGAGACTAGTAGGCATGCCAGCTAAAAGACAAGCGGTCACTAACCCGAACAACACGCTCTACGCAACCAAACGCCTCATCGGGAGACGCTTTGATGACCCCGAAGTACAGAAAGATTTGTAAGTTTACACTGAGTCTGATCACCTCCTTTTTCTTCTTCTCCTTCTTCATCCTCTTATTGGGGGTGGGGCAAGCGCCAAAGGTGTAGAGGTATTCTTTCTAAGTAGTCTATAGCAGCCCATAGATTAATTTAGGCTTTTTATGAAATTTGGCACAGTGATCAAGGATTCTCATCCACTGTCACAGCAATTTTATTGTATGCCACTGTGTTTTTTTTTTTTTTTTTTTTTTTTTTCCCCCAATTCACCTTTTGGTAGCTCTGTAATTATCCAATTTGTAAAACTGCTCACAACTTTTGAATTGCTTAACATAAAATCCAGATTATTTCTCTTGATTGCATTGAAACTGTTCCGTGTTGCTGAATTAACGAATTTGTGATCTTGTAAGCAGGACGTTGGCCAGTTTAAATTTAACGAAAGTGTTTTTTGCTGCTTCTCCTGCAAATTTTGTCAAAAAAAAACATGGAATGGTGGTGGCAAACTAAAAAGAGGATTATTTTAATGATATCAATTATCATTTAAAAGAACGTTTCAGAATGTTTGCATGGATGGCAATAATCTGATATTAACCCAGTTAAGACAATACCCTGATTAAGGAACTAACATGTAAACAGGGATTATTGATGACCTTAATCCGGCTAAAGTCATACTCAAAGTAAACACACAAATCGAATTAAGAAGTGGAGTATTCCTATTTTTGTTGCGTTATCAACATGCATTACAGACATGCACACACCTTAATCACACTTTTTTTTTTTTTTTTTTTTTTTGCCTTTGTTTATTTATTCATTTTCATATGATTCATTTACATTTGATTCATGATTCATATTCATTTGATTCATTTACATTTGATTCATTTTCATGTGATTCCTATTCATGTGATTCATTTACATTGAGATCATATTCATCATGGCTACTCAATAGCTGTCGCTGGTTATATAAAAATTATAAAACCCAAGAACTAAAGTAAAAATAAGAATATAAATAGCCAATTGGAGCTGAAGAGGGACACACACCCAAAGTCTCCATAAAACAAAGGAGACAGCAGTGTTTCACCCCTAGGGTTGGAAAAAGTCCCCTGCTGACTTCAAATGTAATAAATAGTCTGCGCACTTTAACAAATATAATGTCCATACCTTTTAAAGACTTATACTTAATATTACACAGTGTAGCATATTTAAAATAAAATACAAGAAGAGAATAACGAAGTAATAACCCACCGACAATATAAGTATTTGAATTATGTAGAGCTAGAAGGCCGAGTGCAAAAAATATATAACACTACACTGTGTAGATGATGCGGTTCACCCCGGTATTAAGAGTTTAACGTATTCTCCTGCTTCCTCCGCTGAAATAAAGTCCTTCTGGACACCGTTGTATGTAATGCGAAGCCGAGCTGGATGAAATATTCCATAGCGAGCTCCCTCAATACCACGAAGTTGACGCTGAACCTCGTTAAATGCGGCCCGGGCCCGGGCTGTCTAAAAAATGTTAATCACACTTAACGTGGTTTGGGAGTTCTCCACCATAACGTTTCCACCACCGTGCTCCACAGTTGGTATGAGATGTTTCTCCTGAAAAGCCGTCTTTGGTCCGTGCCAAACATATCTGCTGTTGCCGTGGCCAAACAACTCTCTTCGATTCGTCTGTCCAGCGCACATTATTCCAAAAGGCCTGGTCTTTGTCTATGTGCTCATTAGCGAACTGTAGTCTTACAAAGGCTTTTTCCTGGCACGCCTCCCGTGCAGGTCAAAGTTTCGTGCAATCTCGTTCTGATTGTAGAAGCATGCACTTTCACACCAACAGTTGCAAGACTTACTAGCAGAACCTGCAATCATAGCATGATGACACCACACACTCTGATAGCGAAGGGAACATCAGACGTTGAATACGAGAGGGGTATAAGTAAGACCGGTTCCACTTGCATTCTGTAAGCAGTTTCTAATCACTGGCACCCCATCTGATTTCTGATTTTATGGATTTGAAGGTGTGATTAAATGTAGGGGTGTACTTACTTTCTCCATGCGACTGAGGTGTGTGTGTATTATTTTGTGGTTAAATCATGGTAATTTCATGTGTAGTTTGATAGTGTATAAACTTTATTAATTGACACTGTTTTTCACGGTGTCTCATTCTCACACACACACACACACACACTCACTCACACATCAATGGTAGCAGAGCTGCCATGCAAGGCGCTAGCTTTGCCATCGGGAGCAACTTTGGGTTCAATGTCTTGCCCAAGGACATTTTGCATGTGGAGTCACCCGGGCCAGGAATCGAACCGAATCAACCCTACGATGAGTGGACAACCCGCTCTACCAACTGCGCCACAGCCGCCCTTTGACAATGACTCAGATTTGTTCGGAATGTTCCTCAGACCCTCCCCAATCAGTATGCCAAATGTCATAACTTTTTATCATGCCGTTTTATGCGCTGCCATAGACACCCTAGCTTGAAGAACAGCACCGTTGGTGCTTGGGCCCCCTAATAACAATAAGAAATGGTAACAGTAGTGTGCCTATGCACCTTTGTGTGCTTGGGCCCCTGATAATAAGTGACCGTTATGAATACTGCCACTAATACGGAGGGTGTTATGCACAATGATCAAAGTAACTGTGTGGTTCTTCATTTACAGGAAGAATGTCCCATATAAGATAGTACGTGCATCCAATGGAGATGCCTGGATAGAGGCTCATGGAAAGCTGTACTCTCCTAGCCAGGCTGGAGCCTTTGTTCTAATGAAGATGAAGGAGACTGCAGGTAAGAGTCCCTTAAAAATATTTTCACAGTATGATTTCTATTAAAAAATAAATCCTATGCTATCATGACTGGCATGGACGTGTGTTCATTGTGTTAATTATTACTTTTTCAGAGAATTACTTGGGCCATATGGTGAAGAATGCTGTTGTGACTGTACCTGCCTATTTTAATGATTCTCAGAGACAGGTAAAGACTGCAGAAAAGCCCTAATATATATATTTTTTTTATCTAATCAGTTTGGTACTCTATGCTATTAACTTGTTGAGGCACGGTGAATGTACAACATTATTAGGCTATACAGCTTAACTTGTATATATTTTTTAATG